TTTATCGCCCTGCCCGTCCCCAGAGCTGGTTATCCCGTTGAGCTGAACGTCCGCCACATGGAGCTGTCAGCAGTCTGCTTGATTTGCCGATGCTAAACAAGCCAGGTGCAGGGGAGTTTGGATTTCCCACCCATGGCCTTTTTTTGCATCATTAGCAATAATTTTAATTAACCACCAAGTAGCTTTTCCTAGGGGAAAAGGATTAAGGCAGGACTCCTGCGAGGCGCTGGTTTCCAGGCTAATGGTGTCGGTGTGCACATAGGAAGCACTAATGGCTCAGCCAGGGTATGCGATAGCGGTGACGGAGAGCTTTGAGTTATTACCCTTCTGCTCCCAGCCCCAAAAGAGAATGAAGGCGAAAACATCATCATCATCAATTTCTCAGCAGAGGATTTCAGGAAAGCAACTGCCGGTTTGGTTTGCCGCTAATTTTTCTTGCATAACCAATTGATCAGGAAGACGAGTGGGCGCCGTCGCAGCCGAGACGCCCGCACCACGATCCCATCACCCTCCGTGAGCACCACCCGATGCCCGTCCCAAGCCAGGGACTCCCTGGACACCTGCCCTTTCTGCAGGGACATTTGGGGACATGCAGCCTTTGGCTGTGGCCCAGCCGTAGCTCGGTAGTGTGGACGTGCTGCTGCGGCACAGGGATGCTCGCAGCCGGGCTCACCACATCTTGGCAATCGTGGGGCTGCCCCTGCTCTGGCATTATCCTGTCTGTTTGTGCTGCTTTTTCAATTTTGGGCTATTTTCCTCTCTCTTCCATCCTAGGGAATGGGCTATCTGCATGCCAAGGGGATACTTCACAAAGACCTCAAGTCAAAAAATGTTTTCTACGACAACGGGAAGGTGGTGATCACAGACTTCGGCCTCTTCAGCATCTCGGGAGTTCTCCAAGCGGGCAGGTGAGACATGGCACGGTGGAAATACGGGCGTTCCTCCCCATGCCCTAGAGGTCCCCTTTGAGCTGGGAACACGGGGAGGGAGCCCAAAAACCTCCTCTGCAAGTGACTTTCTGGGTCTGCAGCCTCGGTAAGACATGAGGACAAGGTGCCTTTGAGTATCCTGGGGCTGCCCCGGGGATTTCACCATCTCACCGCCTGGGACCTTGCTTTTGAGGAGGCTTGCTTTGGGAAAAGAGCAAGATGCGTAGCTCCTGCAGAAAACCCTCTGCCCCACGAGCGGTGCTTCCTTGAAACGCAGCTCCGCGCTCAACGCTGGCGTTGGGTTTGCAGTGCAAAGCCCCAGAGGGACGGTGGGAGCAGGGCTGGGGTTTCTGCAGCGAGGTGGGTCTGGGCTCAGTGCCAAGCGGTGAAAACAAACTGCTCTGCTCCTTGGTGCAGAAGTTGCAGCTCGTTTTGATTTGATTGTGTTTCATTTATTTTTAAACCTAGCGTTTAAAGGCAGAGTTGCTTTTGATGGGTAGGAAGGAGCACGATGCTGCATGCACGATGCTCCGGCAGTTTGGTTCAGGGAGGCAGGACCTGGCCCCGGGCAGGGTCTCTTGGACCCAACCTCTTCCCACGGGATGCATCGTTTCCGTGGCCAAACCACCCTGCAGCCGTCCGGGAGATGCTCCTCAGGCTCCGTTTCACCAGGGCTGGCAAAGCTGGTTCGTTCCTTGGCCTTTCCCTAACACCGTCGTTATAATGCCCTAGCATCTGCTTCATCTCCTGCCTCTGGGCTGATGAGCGGTGCAGCCAGAGTGGCAGGGGGGGGGGGGGGGGGGGGGGCATTCCGGCTCGAGCGGTGCTCTCCCCGTGGCTGTCCCCCGGCCGCTCCGGTGACCTTTCGGGTGCTGCAGACATCTGGCCACGGTGTCTGCGCCGAGCCAGGGCATGGAGTAAGACACAGAGAAACTGAGAGCCAAGCTTGGGACATTTACAGCATTGTGACATTTTTTGGTCTCTTTGGGTTTGGAATCAAGCCCATTTGGTAAATGTTCCTTATTAAATTTTTTTTTTTCCAGTTCTTTGGGAGGTTTTCCAGCTGTAGGCACGGCAGGCAGAGTTTCAGCAGCCGTGGAAAGGAAGAAAAACAAAGCTGGGGGGAAAAGGAAACAGAAGAGGGGAAAAAAGAACAAAGATTATTTTTTCCTTTTTTGTTAAAACTTAAAAAAAAAGAGCATTGCTGACTTTTCCCAGTGGGAGAGCGCTTTTTCACTAAACCCTTTGTGTCAGAAGCAGCACAGGCCAAGCGCGGCGTTATCGGCGCCGGCAGCTCGGGCAGGTCTCCTCCGGCAGCACAACACCCACCTTCTGGTCCTTTCAGTCTCTATCACCCCACGTGATGGGGTTTGTCGCCGGAGAGGTGGTCGTGGCCGATCATCGCTTTATGGCGAAGGTGCTCAGGAGATAAAATGCACCTTAGAAATTATATATTTTTTTTCTTGCTCCCGTGTGATGAGGTCAAAGGACTAGAGGAAAAGGTGATGGCCGCCTCTCTCCACCCCACGCCTCTTGTGGCGAGCCGGACAGCCAGCCTTTCCATTCCGCTTGTATAAATATCATCTGGTTTTAGCACAAACTTAGCCAAAAGCTTAGGAAGCCCAAGAAATCCAGCAGTGCTGCTGCTCTCCCCACAGCGGAGAAGTGGGCTTCGGCTCTGGTTTAGCAGCTGGGCAGGGGGGTTGGGACTTAGGTCCTGCCAGGATGAGGTCGCAGCTCATTCCAGCAGTGGTAAAAGGATTTGGGCAAAAATGGCCAAATTTTGCCAGGGACCTTTGCTATGAAGGTCAGAGAAGCTCTGGAGATAAAATGAGTGATGAGACGCTGGGGAAATGGGGTATCCGATGGGGTGGGCCAATGGGTGGCTATCTCTGCTCAAGATTGGGGTGTCACTTGGAGGGTAAAGTCCAGGAGATTACTCCTGGACTCCAGGAGAGGAAGGATGGTCAGAAATGCAAGGCTGAACAGAAATGAGCAGTGTTTAGCTAGAAAAATGGAGAAAAAGGGGAAATTTCTGCCCTGAGAAGCTTTCAGTGTGGCTGCCCTGGACTGGTGGCACACGTCTTCTGCCAGCGGAGAGCTGAGAGGAGGCTTCGGGGATCCGCACTCATCGGTCACCATGAATTTTGAAGCAGCAAGTGTCTGCAGGTCTGATTTCCCTTTTCAGGGTGGGTTTTTGGTTGGTTCTGGTTTCTTTCAGATGAAGAAGAACAATAAAGCCCCATTTTGGGTCCTTGGAGGCTTGCACGGACAAGCATGTAGGGAGAAGGGAGCAAATTTTAGCAGGTCAAGTTAAGGACAGTGATGTTGCTTCAGATGTGAATGAGAACTACAAACTGGCCTGTTTTCGCTAGGGTCAAAAAAAGACATGGCTTAAAAATCCTCCTCGTCCTCCTAGAGCAGGCTCACCTTCAGTTCATGAAAGCGTCTGGCACAAGGAGTTTGCAGTGTCCATCCCTGCCATGACACGCTTGCGCTGCTGAGAAACGAGACGGCTATCGCAACTAACTTTCTGCAGAGGCTTCGTAATCCGCTGTCTTATCCTGGCAAAATCAGATTTATTTCTCCTCTATTTAAACGTTGTTGGGCTTGGTAGGGCTGCTCTGTAATTAGGAGGAGCGCAAGGTGGGTCTTGAGTAGTCTGAAGAGCTCTTCTGCTCTTGCTTTTGCCTTGGGGCTGGCTTGTCCTTCGGTGTGTTTAGAAGACGCTCGGCTGGTTGTGCTGCTTTCTGCTAGTGGAAGTGGCCAGGTTGGTTATGAAGTCAGGCAAACTTTTGTCATGAGACCTCAAATTGCTGTAATTGAACCATGTTTGGGATTTCATTAAAGCTCAGCCCTCATTGCTGGCAGCTCGTAAACCCATAGCTGCGTGCTCGGGTGTACGTGAGCTTTGCAGAGGGATGAGGCTGGGCTCACACAGGAGCTGCGCAGCCAAATCCGGTCCCCGGAGCATCCCGAGGCAAGCCTGAATGCCGCTTCTGGGATATCACAGCACTGGGCGACTTGAGTGAGCAAAATTAAAAGCTCCAGATGCAATCCTGGTCTTGCTGAGGGCGGTGGAGCAGATCTGAGTGCTGCCCGCTGTGTCCTGCTCCCCACTGCCTGCCTGGAGACAGAGACCGTAGACACAGGGAAGGACGAGTGAGCTTCTCTGCGTCTTTTCTAATTGCCCCGGTGCTTAACGCCGGCTCGTAATTAAGAGTCGCGCAGGGCTGGAGGACGGCTGTGGGATCCGGCTGGGGAGCTGAAAGCCTTCCCCCTGCGCCAAAGTGCTCTCACCTGCAGCTCCCAGGGCCGAAGGGTCCGTGCCTCACCGCACCCACTGATTGCGGCAGTGGCTCCGACGCAGCAGGGTGAAGAGGAGCTGTTGAGACCCCGGAGGGGGTACGGAGGCTTAATCAGCGATTCCCTGGACCAGCAGCGTCCTTCCCTAGGGGTGGGGTTCCTCCTCCGGTTGCTGCCAGATGTGGGGGTGATGGCTGGGGACGACTTTGCGGCCGGGAGGATCTGGACTGTGTCACCTTGGGATTGTGCGTGTTGTGTGCACGCAGCCGGCGGGGGGGAAAGCCAGCCAAGGAGCAGTGGGAGCTTGTCATCCTGCCTCGGGGGTGGATGGAGATGCCTGTGCCTGGATGGTGTCCCCTGGGACCTGGGCTCTGGGATTTTGGCCCCAGCAACCCCACAGCCATCCCTTACCCCTGCACATCAGCATCCTCAGGAGGGCATCCAAGCACAAACAGGGAGACATTCCTTGATACGAGATGGTGGGCTCCTCCTTCTCTAGCCCAACGTCAAGTGGGACAGTTTTTGTTACCTCCTGCAAAACTATGCTGCCGAATTTGGGCTCAGACACACGATCAAGCTACTTAATGTGTTACCACCACTGGTGGTCCCTGCCCATTTCCCTGCCCGGGGACCCTTTTTATGCCAGCGGTGCATCCTAGGTGCCTGCTGGAGGATGTAAAGGATGAAGAAGCAACCAACGTCATCCTCAGCTGTTGGCCAAAGGAGCCTAATGTATTTGTACCGAGCCGAGCAGGGGGACCTTGAGGAGGTAGAGGAAAAGGCGCTGGGGTTAGCTGAGGGGCTGGTGAGGGGGATTAAAGATGAAATGGAATCCCTGGGTGGTAGTCTGGGATTTAATAGCAATGTCACAGCGAGGATCGGCCACTACGTATCGTGGGGCAGATGATTATAACGAAGCCAGGCTGCTCCCATGGGTGACGGCATGGGAGGCTTGGTCACGAAGGTGGGCTAGAGGGGCTGTTTGGGGCCAAACACCTGAAAATACTGATTTCCAGGACATTATTATAGGGTGGGTTTGGTCGGAAGAGACCCTTAGAGGTCTCCAGTCCAACCTCCTGCTCAACCCACAGCGGGGCTAGCTCAGGTGTCAACGCTGGTGGGATTTACCCCAGGTAACGCTTTGCCCCTGCTCTTTTAAGGTGTTTTGGCGCAATGGTCGCAGCGAGGGCCCCGGCAGACCCTGCATCCCCATCATTAGCCCAGCAGAGCCAAAGGTCCCCCTCACCGCCATCCTGTACCCAAATTGTGCCCTGCCGCCTGGCAGGGACAGGCACGAAGCCGCTGTGCCGGCATTTCTCAGAGCAGGGTTAAAATCTGACTTTGCAAGGATGCCTTAGGGAAAACCACGGTTAAATGCCCCGGGGAGGGGGTGGGAGGGCTGGGGGGCTGCTCGCCGGTGGCATGGTGGTGATGTCCCCCGCTGTGGTACCCACGGCTTCGGCTCCATGTTTCGGCAGGCGGGAGAACAAGCTGCGGATCCAGAACGGCTGGTTGTGCCACCTCGCCCCCGAGATCATCCGCCAGCTCTCGCCGGATACCGAGGAGGACAAGCTGCCCTTCTCCAAGCACTCGGATGTCTTTGCACTGGGGTGAGTCCCCGCAGAGTGGGCAGGCTGCAGAGAACTGGCGCGGTTGTGTCGGGTGTGAGCTGCCCTGAGCAGCCGGGAGGGGACGGGGACACTGTGTCCCTGCCACAACGCCGAGGGGACGCTGCCTGTGGGAATCCCCATCGCTGGGCTCGGAGCACCTTCCCGCTTTGAGAAATTTTGAGTTAAACCCCCCTAAATCCTCCTGTTTTGGCTACGGACCAGGGTGGCTCCAGGCAATGGGATCCAGAGCACCCTAGGGATGCCAGCCTGGCGTAATCTCTCCCCTGCATCCTCCTGGGGCAGGTACCGACGAGAAGGTGCTCTGGATGTCGGCTGGGGATGCAAAGGGTTGGGGACACAGGTCTGAGAGCCCCTGGACACCCCAATTCTCCCCCCCAGCCAGCTGCAGATGGGCTGGCGGGGGGGGCTGCCGCTGCGAACCTGGGGTTCCGGGGGGGGAGATGCCAAAAGGCCAAGAAGAGGAGAATTGATGAGTCTCCTTCAGCGAACCGGCTCACCGCTCCTGCCATTTATCTGAAAGCAAGCCTCCCTTATGGCAGCAGTCCAATCACGCCCCGATAAAACCTTTCTCGAGGCGGACGTAGGGCTGGGGGTTTTACGCAGTGGATTAATTTTCTTGTGGATACCTTAAAGGCTGCGGGGATTAGCGCGCATGGGACTGTTATCGGAGGTGATATTTTCATCAAAACCACAGTAATTACAGCTGAAAGGGTCTGGCTTTTTTTTCCCTCCCCAAGGTATAACGTTAGCACAAAAATAAAGAAGTAATTAAGGGATCATATCGAACTAAGTGAGAGTTGGCTACTTAGACTTAGTTCTTACTCTTTTTATTGAGTGTGAGCTTTGCCCTTATGTAAAGCATAAGTTTCCTTAAAAGATTAAAAGGTTTTCCCGCATTTTTCCTCTTTCTTGTTTCTGCTGCCCTCCCCTGAGCCCGGGAGGCTCACGGATGATCCGGAGGGTTATTGCCATCGCCACTTCCCCATAGGGATTTGAGGATCCGTGACAGCAAGAGGAAAAGGTCTTTTAAAGACTCCAGAAGATGGCAGAAATGTTAAACTAGAGTGTGTGTGAGGGTGGTGCGGAGCAGGGGGCTGAGGCTGGTGGTGTGTGCTCGCCGAAGCCTGGGAGATCGTGGCAGTAATTAATATTAGAGGTATGGTCTTCTCGTGCAAAGGGAGATGGAGCAGCAGGCCGCTCTCCGTAGCACCATCCATACCCCAGGAAACGCAGCCCAAATATTTTGGATGCATCTGAAAGTGGGAAGGTGAAAAATTAAGTCCCAAACTCCCAACTAGAAACTTGAGTTTAACTGCATTGGATGCATTGAAGCACCTTCAAAGTCCCCGCTCCTGCCTGAGCACCTCGTCCTGTGCCACCAGGACCTGCCCCTCTCCAGCCCCCTGATCCCTCCACGCCTGCAGCACCAACGGGCATCTCACGTTATTCAAATTTTTGGAGATTTACAGCCAAACTGTGCGTATTTTTTTCCAAAACCAGGAGAGCTGATTTCCAAAACCGGGGAGCCCCCCTATCCAAGAGTGATCCTTCATTTATCAGACCCCCTCCACCGGATTTTTCCACCCTAATGCCAATTCAACCTTGTTTCTTGCTGCTTTAACCAGCCGTGACAGCATCCCTTGAACGGAAAAGCAGCTCCAGGGAATTTGCCTTGGAAGTTGGGGCCAGTGCTGTGGGAGTCAGGGCTCATCCAGTCGCCGGGTGCCAGAAAATGAGGTTGCAAAACTCCCAGGCGGTAGCGGGGGCGGAAGACTGCGGGGGCGGCTGCCGGTTTAGCCAGAGATGCCCTTGTTTTGGGATATTCCCTTGGATTTGGGAGTCTTCACGGAAAGGAGGGCTTGGCTTAGCGATAAGAGCCGTGCAGCGGCAGATGGCTGCGGGTTCACGTGTGCCATCACCTGGTGAGGGCGCCGGGGATGGTTCATGCCATGGCTTGGACGGCTTTTTGTGGCTCGGAGTGCTTTTTGCAGAAGAAAAAGGGAAACGTCGGAGCAAAAGCGAATGCTTGGGCTCATCCTTCCCCGGCCCTCGCTGCCCCATGCAGCTGGAGCGGGCGGCAGGGTTAGAAACACCGGCCTGGCAGCTGGAGTACGTATTTACCCCCTGCATCGTCTATTAAGCTGCTCCGCGGGCAGCAGGGCGAAGTGCCATTGCAGCCCGGCGGGAGATTCCCACTTGATGTAACAGGCTGGCTGGGGGCTCTGCCCGTGCCTCTGTCCATGCCTCTGCCCGTGCTTCCCATCAACCTCCATCCTCCTGCCCACGGGCCAGGTTCTTCCCTGGTGTAAACTGAGAGCTGCAGCAGGCTGGTGGCTTGCTCTCGGTCGAGTCGACAGCCTCAGTTTCCCCATCTGGAGAATGGGAGAGGTGACATCTCTGTAATGAGGGCTGAGCACCTCTGCTTCGTCGTATCTAGGACGAAGCACCTCCTGGATGTGGAAGATTTTGGAGCAGGGAGAGATGGTGGATGTGGGTGCAATGGCCAGATGTCTCCTCTCAGGATGCCTCCCCATCCCCTGACCCCCACTGTCTCCCAACAGCACGATCTGGTACGAGTTGCACGCACGGGAATGGCCCTTCAAGACGCAGCCAGCGGAGGCAATAATCTGGCAGGTGGGAAGAGGGATGAAGCCAAACCTCAGCCAGATCGGGATGGGCAAGGAGATCTCGGTAGGTGGTGTGGGACAGGCGCTGGAGCCCTGTGAGTGTGTGTGTGCGCGTGGAGGGGGAACGTGCCCCACTGGTGCACACCCTGGGTGGAGGGTTCCCTTTGAAAAACACTCTGTGCTGCCCAGGATCTGCCAGCAAAAAAGCAAGGGGTCCATCCCTGCCCAGCCAGCGAGGCTCAGTCCTGCTGCCGTGGCACAAGTATCAGCTCAGCTTGCACATCCCCTCCAGCCCAGCCCTTCACAAGGATGCGGTGATGGAGACAGGGTCCTCGCAGGGTGGACATTGGGCATGGGGGTCGTGGTGGGAGAGGGACTGGCTCGGTTTGCTCATGCGCTCGCCCTGTGTGGCAGCAGGACATCCTCCTCTTCTGCTGGGCCTACGAGCAAGAGGAGAGACCCACCTTCACCAAGCTCATGGACATGCTGGAGAAACTGCCAAAGCGCAACCGTCGCCTTTCCCACCCTGGACACTTCTGGAAGTCGGCGGAGTAAGTCTCTGCCCCCGCCCGTCCTTCCCCGTGCTGGCAGGCAGCTCTGCCTGCGCTCCTCAAGACCCCACTGTCACAGCTGGATGGCTGGTGTTGGCGGTGGGGGAGCACGGGGACAGGCTGTGGGTATAGTGATGCCACGCGGGGGGCAAGAATGGGTAGGAAGGGTGGCGACAGGGTGCTGTGCCCGTGCCAGCTGTCGCTGTGGTGCTGGCTGTCCTCGTTGGGGTGAAAAAGCCGGTGAAAGTAGTTGCGGATGATAAAGAGGAGCCTGGCAATGCGCTCCCCCAATGCCGGGAGGAAGAAGCAGGGTAGGTCCAGGGGCAGGCTGGAGCCAGGACCTTGGGGACATCTCCTTCGGGGACATCTGCTTTGAAGGCATCAGCCAGGGCTCCAGTGCCTGCCTGTGCACAGTGCTCAGAGCAGCTTCCCCTCCTGGGAAAGTTTTTTTTCCTTCTTTTGCCCAGATTTAACCAATGGGGGGGATGCCTTGCCCAGGGTCCCTCCCCAGACCTGCAGCCTGCCTCAGCCGTCGCAGCTTCCAGCGGTGGGAGAAGAACATGGTCTCTTCTTCGCCTGCAGGCAGCTCCTGGCCAAGTCCTGCTCCGTTTCATTGCTTTAGCTTAGTCACATCTCTCTGCTTCAGCAAACGCAGCGTAAATGGGTCCCCAGTCAGGGTTTCAGGATCTGGCCTGTTGGTAACAGCAGGAAAAAGGCAGAAGAATCACTAAGAAACTAATTTTCTTCCCTGGAATTCATCATACTATGACAAATAGGACCAAAAACCTAACCCATGCGGAGGTTGCATGCACATGGGGGGATTTTTCCTTCTCCTGGCATGCATCCCCAGCCCGCGGAGGCTGGAAACCAGGATGGGGGGGAGGGAAAGGTGAGCTAAGGGAGAGAAGCGAGGGCACTTTGGACTGCTTCAAGCATCCCTCTTGGACCCCTCCAAGGGTTAGAGATGCTGATTTCTCCTCCTGCACCAAACCTCCTCGCTTCCTTATCTGTGCGGCAAGCACGGGCAGCCCCAAGGTTATGGGCACAGTGAAAGCTGCTGGAGTGTCCCCTGTGCCACCTCCCGTCCCCATGTGCTCGGGGCTGACGAGGGGCTCCTGGGAAGAGCACAAAGCCAGCGGTCAGATGGCCCCCAAATCACCCGGAACGTAAGCCGTTAATCAGGAGGGAAGTTAATTACCAATCTGTGCTCCGAGCAGGCACCAGGGTGGCTCCGGCAGCCGGGCAAGGAAAACTGAAGGTTGATGAACCCCAAAGCAGCAGGCTGTGTAATTGCTCGGTTGGGTTTGGGAAGGTTTTTGCAATCACCGAGCCACGCTCTGCCTGCCACTGGCTTTGGCTGCCCGGCAGCTTCCCCTTAATTACCGGCCCCCTCTTTTGCTAAGCGTGAGGCGGAGGAGGATGCTTCAGCTCGGCACTCGCTTTCCATCCGAGCTGCCTCCTTCCTTAGGGACTCGGCTCTGGCCTCTGTTCCTGTGTTAGGCCCCGGCTTCCCCGCGGGGTTCCTGCTTGCCCAGGAGCCCCGGCTGCGCGCAGGGATGAGCTGGCTGCGGCACCCGGGGGCTCTGCCATCCCTGCATGAAGGGGGCAGGGGGCAAAAACCCCTCGGAGGTCCTGCTGCTGGGAGAGCTTGCATGTATATGTGGATGGGGCGAGGTGTGTGGTACCCAGCAAGCCCTTTCCTCTCTAGATGATACTAAATCTGAGAGCTGCCTGCACCAGGAAAACCCAAACCAGGCTGGTGGGGCAGTGCAGAAGTGCACGGCTTCCCACGGTGCTGCTGCATTTCAGGGGCAGCTCCGTGGCAAACCCATTTGGGGAGGCTTTTTGCAATGAGCTGCCCTGCAAAAACCCACGGTGCCGTGGGACGAAGCGCCCAGTGCTGACTCTGCCGTGTTGTGTCCCTTCCAGGCTGTGACGGGAGGAGTTAAGGGACGGTGCCTTCCTCCTCCTGCGGTTCTCCTCTTCCTCTCCGCTTCCCAACCCGGCGCTACAGAGGAGCAGCAGGCGCCGCGGGCCGACAGCGGGACAGGAATGAGCCTCTTCCCCTGCAGCGTTTCACCCGGTGAAACCTCTCTGCAAGGGCTGGAGGAGCCGAGCCGGTGGCCAAGCCCCGGGGACGCCCGGCTGTGGTGGGATGGGGACGGCGGGCGGCTCTCTGTGCACATGGGGTCGGGCCTTGGGCCGGTTCCCCACCGAGCAGGGGCAACCCATGAGGCAGACGGCATCAATTTAATCCCAGAGCTCCTCTGATCCCAATCAGCATGGTCAGTGCTCATGATGCTCTGTTGGGGAGGGGTTGCTTCTTGATTCTCGGTGGGTTTATTTAATTTCCTTTTTTTTTTTTTTTTTAAATGAAAAAAAAGGGGGAAATGTTGCTGATTCATGAGTTTAGTGCTGGAGCCTGCTGGGGCCAGGGAGTGCCGCTGCTATTAGCTGCCCCCCACGGGGAAATGCATCTGCAGAGCTGGAGCTGGAGGAGTCCTGCTCCCCCGCGCCTTGGCAGCCCCTTCGTGGGCAGTGGTGACCTTTCACAAGTGGCTTCTCTACCTCCCGGCCATGCCCACTTACGCTCCCTCCCCAGGTCTCCCTCTCGGCAGGGTGCATCTCCACACTCCTGTTAATTTAGCCGTTTGCCCCGGTGCGTATCTAATCAGCGAGCCTTTCCCTCTCGCCCTCCCCGGCGCTGCTTTGCTCTTGGCTTCGACCCTCGCTCCCGAAGGCGCCGCCAAAGCCCCGGGTTTGGGGATGCTCTGGGGCCAGGCAGAGCTGAGCGGCTGGGGTTGGGGTCCTTCCCCTCTCCCGTTGCCTTCCCCGGGCTCATTGCCGGAGCCGGGGATGCAGACAGGCTCTGGTTGTACAGAGCATCCCCCTTCTCAGCCCCACACACGGGAGCTGCGGGCGTCTCAGCTGAACGAGCAGCCATGACCAGGACCGTTTTCCCCTGCATATTCATCTTCCATCAGCCAAATCCTGGACCTCCCCGAAGAGATGCTCTTTGGGCAGTTGTTGCCATCTGAATACCGTGTGCCGGTATTTCCCTCTCCCCATCAGCTCGGATAGGCCCTCGAGCCCATTAGATGAGCTGTCAAGCGACAGATGATAGCAAATTGCGTTTTCAGGCCCTTATTGAGCGTAATTGCTTGACAGGAACCATCCTGAATAATTCAATCGTAGTCTAAGTTAGCTTTAATTTGGAGACATGACGAGGCTCTGCAAACTAACCAGCTCTGGTTTGTTTGCTGCTCCTCTAACTCCCCCTTGCCGGTGTTTGAACCGCTTTAGCATAAGTAAATGAAGATTAGAAACCTAATTGCGGCTAGGAAGAGATGTGACTTTAATTGTGGGGGCGTGTAAGGAGGTGCTTTTATTTCTTAAAGTTTGCACATGTATAAAGTCTGAGGTGGGCGGGAGCAGGGAGGGTGAATCCGGCCTCCAAGTGTGCTGGCAGAAGGTTGGTCTGGGTGAGTCTCCTGGTGATGCTTTTGGGGCATTTGCTGTGCCACGCGGTCGCACCTCGCTCTAAGATGTTTTGCACAAAGTGGGGATGAGGCAGGATCACCCGCATCTGCCTTCGATGCTGAGGCCAAGTGGGATGAGTGAGCAAGGGCAGGATGAGCCCTTGTTTGTGCTCATTGCCCCCTCCACCGGGAAGCACGGGCAGTTTGTGGTCCTCTGGGCACGATGCTGCAGAGCTCAGCATAGGCGGCTGAGCACCACCTCGTCCCAAAGGATGCTCCATGGCTGCTCACCCTCTGCCTCCTCCGCATCCCACCTCTTCCTCGCTAACACGCACCGGCTTCTTCAGCCCACCCCGGGCCACAGCAGCGATGTCCTCTGCCGCCCGTCCTCCCCATCCCAACCCTTCCCCGCTGCCTCATGTCCTCTCCATCCTCTGCGCGTGTGCGCATATGTGCCATAAACGTTGCACTAATCCTCAGAGTCTCTCTGAGTTTTCACCAATGCCTTCACCTGCGGTGGCCCCGGGGCCTGTGGGAGGGAGCGAACCCCCACCGCTGGAGGTCTCTGCTGCCAGGAGGGGCGCGGGGAGGTCTCACCACGAAATCACCGGTCCCCAAACCACGTTCAGATGGAGCGATCGCTGTAGAAAGATGGTGTCCTTCTCACTTGGTGGTTTTAGTTTCTAAGTAGGCGTGAGCTTCCTAGGTGTGCAGTAGCCAGTGGAGCGCGTTGGAAAGATGAAGGAGGTGATGCCACGGGTGATGCTCAGCACCAGGGGTGGCAAAAGCGCTGTAGCCTGATAGATGTTGTGCAGATTTTTGGTGGAAGGTACAATGTCCGTCTTGAAGGACTTACTGTGGGTTTGCTCTCTGTGCCCCAAGCCCTCTACTTGCCTGGAAAGTCTCACCTTGACATATTCCCCTGTGGGGTCTCACCAGCCCCTGGTAGATGCCTGCTCTATTTTATCAGCTGAGACTCAAGGAAACAAGTGAGCCGATGAGCATGTTGGTCTGGTCCTCGTGGGAGCACGGGGCTCTCTGCAGTGGCCTTGGCCAAGCGTTTCTCCCCTGGATTTTGGGCATCCAAAAGGAGCTAAGTGCTCCTATAGCCAACAGATCTCACCAAATCTTCCCTCCTCTCCCTTCTCTTTCTCCTCCGCTTCCCTCACCGTAACGTCTCAGCTGGGCCACGAGCAGAGCCCTTGCACAATAGTATCGATGGAAAAATAGCTGCCCTGTATTTATCATAAATGAGCTCAGAAGAGCAGCTCCTTCCCTTCCATTCAGCGCAGCAACGGTTGTTTATGCAGCCGTGTTATTTGCATCATGCCTTCTTATTTTTGAAAGTCTTAATTATTAAAAAAAAACCCAACCAACAAATCTTACTCTTTTTTGTTGTTGTTGTTCTTTGTTTTTTTGACTCCGGCTTTGTGCGGGTTTTTTTTCCCCCCAGTTTAAAAATATCCAGCCCTTCAGCAGGGAGAGAATGTAGGAGAAGCTCTCCACAATGCCCTCTAATAGGAGA